TAGTAAAACCAGTGGCTGGAGACGATTGGTGATATAGCTGAAAATCGTTGTCAGTTGCGCAGATGCATTCACTATTTGTGATTCATAATATCCAATAAAATTCTATTGTTCTTCCATATTACTGTTCTTCTTTTTCCCTCACACTTCTGTTCATTATCTCTCTCTCTTTGTTTTGAATCTCTTTTTACTCTCTTCTTTTGCTTTGTGTGCTACGTGAACTGTGGCAACTGGAGCTGCTGCACATCTGTGCGAAGTTCTACATTGAAACCAGTCAGTTTTGCCACATCCATGTGTGTGTGTCTTACAGAACATCTCTCGCTATGATTTGATTAAGTGACTATATGAAATCCACCCAAAGGCTGTACTTTGTCTCATCTAGTTGATGACAGTGACCATTCCTCAAGTGGACAAAACGAAAGCATTCTCAGGATGGATAATTCATCGCATCCGATCGAATCTTTCCAATAGTCGTTGTATTCATTCGTCTACTGTATGTATATAGCTGCGGCGATTGGTATTCGAGTCTATAAAAGTCTGAAAAACACTATGAATTCGGAAAAAGACCTTATTATTCTTGGCCATTAAAACCTGACGAAGGGATTATATCACCAGCTGTTCCTTCTATATCACTTCTTATCAGCCTTTCTTCTTTAGTTTTTATTGCATCTTTATTAAAACTTGGTTTGTTTGCTTATTTTGCAATCTAGTATGACGTAATCTTATTACTTGTTTGCTAAGCCTTTTATCTATTACGTCTATTTGAACAGTTGTTTGTATGACCAGACTGTTTTCAGTATTATTATTATTATTACACAAATCGGTCCATTTTTCATCATTCTTATTTATTATTATTATTTTTAAATTGATTACGAGCTGACCATCAGTTAGAAAACCAGTGGGAAACCAGCAGGGAGTACTACTGGACAGTTGTTTCGTCCTAGTTTAGAACTCCTCAGCAATATACACCCACCCACCCACGAGACGAGCTCGTAGACCATTAAGTCACTTGGATCCGACCTAATGGTGGCTTAATCGTCTACGAGCTAGCTTGCCATTGTAACTGAAAGGTCCTGGGTCTGAACCCTGGCAGTGGAGTGGGTGCGTACTGCTGAAGAGTCCAAAACTAGGCTGACGAAACAGGTGTGCAGTACTCGCAGGTTTTCTAGTGGTTCTCTAACTGATGTTAGCTCGTGATCAATCCTGTAACCACCAATCAAATCCCTGCAAACCAACAAGGGAATTTGGGCGGTGACTCTGCTTGAGGCCTCCTAGCTGGTTAGAACCAATGCTTGTAGATTGTTGTATGTTTTTATCTTCCTATCTGTGGTGTTTCTGCATTATTATTATTATTATTATTATTCCCTTGGGCTTCAACAACACATCTTCACTTATATTTTCTCTGCCATCCTCTTCAGCTGGGACCACGACTGCCCATAATCTGTCATCTCTTCCTTACACTATCTCTCTCCTCTCCCTAGGACGACCCACTCGTCTCTTCTCACTCAATGGGATTCCACTCAAGCGATGGCCTGCATCGCTCGCCATGTCATTCGATGGTTTCTTTAATGTATGCCCGATGCATCTCCATTTTCTCCTATATATATTTTCGTTGAGCGATCGGCTGTTGGTTGATTTGTTCCCAGAGTTTCTTGTTATTAATTCTTTCTGGCCGGCCATTTGATCTTCAGTATTGGAGCCAGCGAAGGCAGCAGTTGATGAGAGTCTAAAATCTTTTGGAAATCCTTTTCGTGACACTCTGGCCAAGTTTCTGACCCGTATAGAAGAGTCGACTTCACATTGGTGTTGAAAATTCGGATGTTGTTCCTTATGCTGTGGAGTGCGGAAGATTTCCAAACTGGTTTCACATTGATGAAGGCGTATCTTGCCTTTCCGGTTCCAACTGGACTGACTTTGACATCTTCATCCGTTCCTCCTGTTTCTGCATAGAGTATCTAAATTATTTACAAAAACTTGGGAGGAATGCTTGTCTTTTACAGTTTAATTCCTGTAATAAACTTAACCTGCACCAAATGGAAATCAGTCCTTACATGGGGAAATAAGTGCGTCGGCGGCACAGCGGTTAGGACGCTCGCCGACCATGCATATGGTCCGGGGTTCGATCCCCGGCGTACGCACTCCTTTACTCCTTTACCTAGCTAAGCCAGAATTAAACCTGGTAAAGAGAAAAGGTTGGACATGAGGCTAGCAACCCCATCCTGTAAAAATTAACACTGTTACAGAAACTTCAAGCTTCTAGCTTGAAGCCCTATGTTCCACTGGGAACGTGAAGGAACAAAAAAATGGGGAAATAAAAGGATTTCTGGCCTGCAATACGTGTTACAGAGTGTTATAGCTTATTGATGGATTGTAAACACTTATATTCATGATATCTATGGCCATTTGAACTGTTGCACTTCTGTGCAACTTTGTTCTTCATTATGAACTCACCTTCATGACATGAATGAAAGTTTCTCTTCGTGTGGAGTAGTTTTTCACACAATTTGTAACAGACTTATACACCCTGATGATTTTTGCCTACGTTATGTAGGCTTTTTGTAAGTGATATATATATATATATATTCACAGTATAGTGACTTCATTTCAAAGTGACTTAACCTGCTAAATTTTCAATATCTTTGCAGACAACCTAGTCGAAGCGTCACTTCTATCTTTAAAATAGTCAAAAAGTCACTCTATTATTTGTCCAAATAATAAAAAGCTTCACTTCATTTCGGTGAAAGAGATTACAGACAAGTCGCAGAGTGAAAGCAAATATCTGTTCACTGGTCTTGGCTTCTTTGTGTTATGAAAACACAGTGTGTGTATGTGTTCTAATGGTTTGGTTGATTTATTGATTGATCACTAGGGTGGGTGGATGGGAGTCCACTCCTTGATATTGGTGCTGACTGGTTTCTGTTAGTCTCTAGTAGGCGATGTGGGGTTGCCAAGCCTGGCTGGAGGCAGTCGGCAGAAAATTGATATAAGTATAAAACTTGGGCACTGCGGTAGAGTATAATTTCATTATGGATAAGATTTTATTTTGATAAAGTGTCACACAGTGGTGCTGTACAGTAATATTAACTGATGACCACACGCTTCGAGCACAAACTATTGCCACTCATAATCATATCAAGGCACCACTCACACAACTTTTTCCCTTCATTTATATACGTGTGTGGAATCGATTAGATATTGGAATAAAAATCAATATGAGATAATGTACATTCAGAATTATTAATATGAGTGTTGCTGATCAATTGCAATCAGATGGGAAACACGACGAGTGTTTTTATAGTCATAATAAGTAACTTGTTAGAATATTGTGATGTGCTTGAATTGAAATAAAGTTTTAACATTATTTATTATCCTCCTCTGATTTGACTGAATGGTGGTAATAATATCTTCCATATTTCTGGAATTTGCATTGAGTCATTTCTGTTGCATGTGTTGGGTGTAGACTCGATGAACCAGGCAGGATTTAGTGATAAATCTCTCTCTCCGCCTACTTATATTACTTTTTAGAACTTTAACCCTCTCCCATCCAATTGTGTGGTTGTGTGTTAATGCATGCAGTGCAATTGATGAGCTTTTTTCTAAATTTCTTATGTTCGTGGGGTCAACCATTTTTACCTTAGCCACTAAATTCTTATGTTTCGACAATCTGATTACACCCGACCTACTAGTTTGACCTATATAGTTGACCTAGCCCACAGTCATTGCCGGGTATTTTGTAAATTATATTATTTTGTTTAATTGGGTCCACCGGGTCCTTTAACCTATAGAGCTTGTCCTACCTGAGTGAGTTTGTAGGTTTGAATGCCACCCTAATTCCTGCTTTATTTAGAATCCTACGTAGGGCCTCAGATGTCTCTTTCTTATATAGTAGAACTTTAGATGCCTTATATTCTCTCTTATTTATGTTATCATTATTATGTATTAGAATGCGTTGGTGTTTTATAAACTCTAATGTTCAGTTTACCTTCTTCTGTTCGTTTGATTTTACAATCTAACACCGTAGCTAATTCTCCTTGTTCATTTTCTGATTCAAATGTAAATTGTATCGCCCTCACTAGTGAGTTTATATGCGTCAAGAAGCTAGAGATATGTTCTGTTTCTAACACTGCATGCATTAACACACAATCACGCAATAGGTTGGGAGAGGGTTAAAATTTTAAAAAGTAATCTAGGTAGGTAGAGAGATAGATTGATAACCTACTGAATCCTTGTTCATCGAGTCTTCACACAACATATGCAATAGAAATGACTCAATGCAAATACCAGAAATATGGAAGATATTATTACCACCAGTCAGTCAAATCAGAGGAGGATAATAAATAATCTCAAAATTCTATTTCAATTCAAGCATATCACAACATTCTAACAAGTTACTTATTATGATTATAAAAACACTCGTCGTGTTTCCCATCTGATTGCAATTGATCAGCAACACTCATATTAATAATTCTGAATGTACATTATCTCATATTGATTTTTATTCCAATATCTAATCGATTCCACACATGTATATAAATGAAGGAAAAAGTTGTGTGAGTGGTGCCTTGATATGATTATGAGTGGCAATAGTTTGTGCTCGAAACGTTGTCATCAGTTAATATTACTGTACAGCACCACTGTGTGATACTTTATCAAAATAAAATCTTATCCATAATGGAGTCGGTAAGAAACCTTGGATATCTAGATCTCGCGATTGTTGAGACTCATCAATAAGATGTGTATTCGCAGTCTCAGATTCGAGCCCCGTCACCTAGAGGCGTTGAAAACCAACCTATTGGGACTTACGATAGATCCTCTTGTAGGACTATAATGGATGTATCGTATGAGGATGGCATTTTGCTCAGTAAAATAGGTACCCTTCTAGCTCTATATGTAGCACAGTTTTTGTGGACAAACTAATATTAATTAATGCAAACAAATGCTTTAATAATATCCAATTCATTTTCTGTCTTTTCTTTTGCTGTTTTTCTATGTATTTATTTTAGCTATTAAAACGTCAGATTTCACTTTTGGTCCACATATAATCAAGTCTGATTGTGTTTTTTATCAGTCGGCGTTGAGTTTCGCTTTTGTGAATATTAGTCCATTGGTACCGGGACGTATCCTTTTCTGTGGATTCATGTGTTTTTTGTTTAAATAGTTTAGTTTGCTTAATTTCTCATTTAACATGTTGAAGATTTACACAATAATATGTTGTGCGTCACTAGTGTAATAGTAAAATGCTCGATTAGCCTCATAGGAGAGGTCAGCGTCCAATTCCCTGCCGAATGTACTCGTAAACTTCGCCTAGCGGGGATAGATAGTAAGCCTTTGGGAAAGAGGCGGTTGGTTGGGCCAGTAAATCCATCCCTTAAAAACAACTTCATATCTTCTGAAACCTTTAAGTCAGATCAAAAGCTTGTTTAAGTCTTCGTGAATGTATCAGTTCTTCCGAGTTTCGGAAATATACACCTTAGTGATGGTTGCCAAGAAGCATAAAACACACGTACACAAGCTATCCTGCTGATTTTCTTTCCAACCACCTAACAAACGACATGAACTGATTGGTATAAAACTGAATGGTCGGGAAATGTGTTGATAGGGAAAGAAAACGTGCTAATTAATCATTGGTTCTCTCTAGTTTTCAGTTTTTTAGTGAGTGATTTTGATTTATTGCAATTGAGGATTGTATATTCAAACGGACAGACTTCATATTTCATACATTTGGTTCCCTTGATAAATTTCGATAAAGAAAGGAAGACGAAATTTCCAGTATAAAATGATATCATCATTCTATTTCACAGGTTCTCATCATCAGCTGCAGACTACCTGAAATTACAATGGTTATATAGATGCTAATAGCGTACTTTAATGTTTAAGAGGTAGTAGAGAAGAAATACTATAGAATTGACGCATCCAAATTGAAAGCATTGCAATTATTAGTTTAAGTTTTCATCATCAATTCTTATGCTTTCAAAGTAGAAAAGAGGGGGGAGGGGTAAGACAGAAAACAGAAAAAAATAATTAACAGAACAGTGTTAGCTTGTAGGTTCACATAGCAACTCAAAAAATAAAGGCGGTTACAGTTTATGAGATTAAGATTTGTTCAGTGAGTTGAGATCACTGAATTAGATGACTAGTTAATGTAATCAAAATCAAAATTCAGTTACCAAGGGAGTGAGAGGTTAATCACACTCTCTTTCTGTGTGCATAAGTCTAGTTGGTTTAAATCGTTTGATTGCGATCGCTTCGGCAAATCGTAGTAAATTTGCTGTCTTTTGTCTATTTAATATTTTGAAGGACTTAGAAATCTCTACGAGATGTCTGGTGATTGCACTCTGAGAATATTTGCTTCCTTTCAGGTACAGGTTTCTTGGAATATGTTCAGAAAACCGGATAGAAGCCCTTCTTTCCGTCCTTCCAATGTACTTGCTCCCACAAGTGCACGTAAATTCATAAACGCAGTAGGAGTTGACATCAGCATGGTATTTATCCAGTTTTGAGTGGCTTATTGAAGAAGTGGTGCTGTATAGTGTTATGAGTTTAGCTGCCAGGAAGCTTCTATTTATTGCTCCTTTCAGTCTTTTGTCAATCTTTTGTGACACTGCATTTCCTTTGAATGGGAGACAAATAAACACTTTCTTCTTTTCTACAGTTGGGTGTTTTTCTTTCTTATCTTTTTCTCTGCTATACTTTTGTATAAATCCCTCAGGGTATCCATTTTCTCTTAGGCATTTCTCGATGACGAAATCTAATTCTTCTTCGACCTTGTTTGGTGAACATAGCTTCCTGACTGTGTCGTACAAAGTCCTCACTAATCCACGTTTATAGCTTATGGGACAAAAGCTGTTATAGTGAAGATATTGCCCAGTCCAGGTTTCTTTTCTATAGATGGACTTTTTGATTTCTTTCTACATTTAGATCCAGGAAATTGAACTCATTATTATGTTCATATTCCATGGTGAATTTGATGTTTCATGTTCTGAAATAAAGTGTGATTGACACATATGCGTACATTGATTACTCGCATCATCAAACTCTAGTTCTAATGAACGTGTCCGGACATAACCTCTATTTTCTTTCTGTGGATAATGTATGATTAACCATATTAGGTTCCTCAAAAGGTCTTATTTTATAGTCCTAGTAATGTTCAATCCAAAGGTAGTCTTTATGTCTCAAGATTCAATAGTCTCCATTGAACCTTTTATCAATCGTTGCATTTACTTCTAGCATGTTACGGTCAATAAGCATCTTATTGTCATCATTCTTAACCTCTGGTAGAGGTATGTCATGTAAGTGGCTCCATAGTGCCATCTGATATGTCGTTGGCACAACTCTTTACAACTGGCGCAGTCTCTGTACTGTCTGTGCTTTCGAAACAATAGCATGAATGGAGGAATCTAGAGGATATTGTGGATTGTGAACCCAGTGTTTTAAGAGAAAGTGTTTTCTTTTTTAGTTGTTCCTTCTGAACCTAATTCCCCTGCTAGATCCTCTGCGATGACCGTTGCGTCTAACCCACCATTCAGAAATGCACAGGTTTGAACAACCCTACCATTATGCTCGGCTAAAATGGGCACTATGTCGGACACCATCTCACTCGTCATAGCCTTTCACAAAGTCATATCATCACTACACTGTTGAAAGTGGAATGTGCGCACATCGTTTTGTGTATCATCGGATAATCTGTGCCCTCTCCAACCACACCCTTCAATCCTATAGGATCTTGGAGAACGGCAGTTCTTTACCCCCTATGACTTGCCTTTAAACAGACGTGATATAGTTTTTCCTTGGAAATGCAATCTAAACGTTCATTAAGATCTTTATCTTTGACATTATTCTTTGAAGGCAGGGTAGTAAACATTCGGTATTTAGAATCTGGATGAGAGTTATTCTTCGTAGGGACATCAATGTCTTTCGTGTTTCTTCCGATGGAATTTCCACTGATCAGTAGTCCATGCCCCCTGGTGTTAGCGATATTTGTCTGACTGCTCCTTGATGAATAAGCTTAAATCGCCAAACAATGGCTCACGATCGTTCTTTATGATGTTGTAAGCAACTTTTACCCGTTCTCTATCTCTGAATGTACAGGGAGTTTTATAACTAGGCTTCCAATACTCCTAGCAGAATTTAAATCCGACGTGTAACTCGCTTGCCTAAGAGCGTTAGGTCACATCCTTGCACTTTCTCAACAATGATGCATCGTTACCTCTTACATTTGGGAAATCCAGATGTTTATCTGTGAATGAAGGTCTGGGCTACAAAGTGCTTTTACCCAAATGCTTCCTGTAACAATTCTAAGGCTGTATAATATCCTACTTCCGGTTCGAACAGAACACAATGCTCGGTAACATCATTTGCCCCTTCCCATCACTGTACTGAATCAGGTAATTTAATCTCTGTTAACCCTGTCCAGAAACTTAGACATGGTTCTGGCAAATTCATCATTAGGAAACGTACCAACCGCTAGAGAGGTGGAAGGTGTATTAAGCGACCTCTTATGATCGAAACATTCTCCACTTGCTTGCTGTAATCGATATTGATTATAAAAACAGTAAATTGTGTTCGAAACTTTAGTCATCCAGTAAATAGTGCCGTTTCACTGTGTGATATACCCATCTAATAAACAAATTAATATGGAATTACATACTATCACAGTACAGAAGATTTACACATACATATATTAAAAAGTTTTTATCGTTAGTAACGGGCATCGGTGGCACAGTTGTAGAATGCTGGTCAACCATGCGATGTTGTCTGAGGTTCGATCCCTGGCCGACAGACTCACTCCTTTACCTCGTTAAGCCAGTAATAAGACTGGTAAAGAGGGAAGGTTGAGCATGAGGCTGGCTAGCAACCCCATCCCGTATAAGTAAACACCACTGCTACCGAAACTTCAAAGCTCTAGCTTTGGAGGCGCCCTTTGTTCCCCACTGGGAACTTGTTTTACGTAAATAAAATCAAATCGTTAATAACCCTTCAGAAATCCAGACACTAGCCGCCGAAGGAACAATTTAAGACCAGAAAGTACTGACTAGCGATTTCATACAAGTTTAAGCCTCTTCGATTGTGTGTGTGTGTGTGTGTAGCCAAAAGTGCTCGCAGGAGTAAATCTCGAATCGTCGTCGGGTTACTCGTCAATTGTGTTACTTCTCAGTCACTGCGTGAAGAATCAATCCTGTCAGATTCTTAGTAGGATACTGTCCACTTGTGTTAGAATCCAGCTGTCCTTCTTGTTTTCTCTAGTGAGAATTAAATTAATTTAATGAGTTTAGTGTTCTTTTCTATAATATTGATTACGTCGCTTGTCTTCAAGGACATTTTAGATTCTAGTCGGCTGCGCTTGTCATACGTCGAACACCTACTAAAACGACACATACAATCATTTCCACCAGTTTCGACATATTAGTTACAGGATCTCATCATGAGCTGGTATCGGTTAGAGAACCATTGGAAAACCAACTGGGAGTACTAGACAGCTGTTTCGTCCTAGTCTGAGACTCTTCATCAGTATGCACCCACCGGGGGTCGAATCCAGGACCTTCTGGTTACAAGGCGAGCTAGCTCGTAGACCACTAAGCAGCCACTGGGAACCGATCCAATGGCCAGCCCATGAATTCTAACTTCTGCCAATTCACGACATAGCGTGACTGGCACTAGCCAATGTCATGGCTGGCGAGTATTTGTCCTCACACCTGACCTTTGACATATCTTTTTCCACTATCAAGAGGGATAGTTTATCCTTAATGCGCTCTGTTTCTCCTTAACCATCAGTTGATATTTTGATTATCAGATATACTTGTCTCACCGATAGCTTGTATTCAACGATTTTGTGATTTGACTACTGGACAAGTTGCTGATCTCTACATAACTGTACGACAAATTGCTAAACGCTTAGCTGAGCATTTTTCAGCGACTAGTTTAACAATATCGATACAGGATGGAAAAGATGCGGGTCAAAGTGTACCGGTAAGTTGATTTTGTTTTAGATAACTGTTTGAGTGAGTTAGTTAGTCAGTCAGTATATCATTATTAATGTCATCTCCACTTTGTCCTATCTTCTGCCGTCCTCTTCCGCTTGGACTACGATTGCCTATAATTTGTCATCTCCTCCTCATGCGATCTCTTCCATGTCACCCTAGGACGACCCACTCGTCACTTCCCATTAGGATTCCTCTCGAGCAATGGCCTGCATTGAGCGCGATGTCATTCGATGGTCTCCTCAATGGCGTGTGTGCCCGTTCCATCTCCATTTCGCTCCTACATATATTTGTTGGGCGATCGGCTGTTGGTTGATTTGTTCTCACAGTTTCTTGTTAATTATTCTCTTTGGATAATCCACATCCGTTCCACGGCCAAGTTAAACTTTAGACACCAATAACTACCAATCAGCGAACGACGTCAAATTATCGAATGAGATTCATGAACATAGTTCAATGTTGTATAGTGCCTGATTCATTTCAAATGCGTGCCCTTACAAGGTTACGTTTGCAATTCTAGGAGGATAGTGTCTTTCAGTATTGGCTGGACTTAGGCTTGCTTCGAATAGAGAGAAGTTGTTCGTGTGGTGGTGTTATGACTCTAAAAAGCTATACTAGGTCAACTGATGGTTTTGTACATCGTTATGGAATATGCTGGTAGCGAGTTAGTATTAGAGAGGGTAATATTTCGTGGGGAATTTTTTGCTAGGTCGCATCTTTCCCTAACCCATATTTTGTACATTTTCAATTACTGGGTACTGCTGCCGAGACGGAGAACAGCCTCCGTCTCAATAGTTCAGTGGTATACCACTGGTATACCAGCACTGCAGGGACATCGCCTCATGGAAAATGGACAGAATTGCTTCGTTGTTAGGCGGGGACGACGTAGTAGTCCATGTGGATGAGACAGTGTTGGTGAAGAAGAAATATAACCGCTGTCGTCAGAGAGCGAACAGCATTTGGGTCATAGGTTTTTGATTGAACACTAGTTACTGATGATGAGTGCCAACTAGCACGAAACCTAGGTCCAAGGCTTCCTGCCGATTGCCTCCAACCATCTAATACCAACAGGTCATAGGTTTATACGACACGTCCCTCCGAAAAGGATTTGTTGAAGGAATAGCAGACAATAAGGCGACTACTCTGGTACCTATTATATAGCGACTTGTGAAACCGGGATCAATTGTACATACCGACGAGTGGAAAGGTTACAATTCATTGTCATCCCTGGGATACATTCATCACAGAGTAAAACACTCCAGTGATTTCGTGGATCCAGTTACAGGGACTCTTACAAATTCCATTGAAGGATTTTGGGGTCGATTGAAAAATAGGATACGGACTATAAATGGATTTCAAAAGGATCTCATTTATAGTCATTTAGATTAATAAATGTATAGAATGTGTTGCGACCTCTCTGTGGACAGTCCCATGCTGAATCGGGAAATGTTTCTCTTCCATGTTCGGAAGAGATACCCATTGTAACCGTTTTATAATTTTTATGCATTTTTCTATAAACATACGTTTCCGCTTATCATAAACGCCTCTTTCATGTGATTGGTCGGTTCAAGGTCGTTTGCTGATTGGTTGTTACTGGTGTCGAAAGTTTAACTTTGCCCGTTCCACCTGCTTTCGCAGAGATACCCAGCACTTCTATGCCATATCTTCACATTTCGTTGGCTACTTGGGCAGCCTTCCCAGCCAGTCTCGTACATTGTACGGACAATCCACGCCCCCCTCCATTCTTACTTTTGCTTTCATCGAGAGAAGACACATTAGCTGATTGGCTTCTCGAAGGCTGGCTTTCACCAGCCCGCGCCTTTCCGGTTCCAGCGAAGAATAAGATCGTTCTTTGAATTTTGTGTATTTTTAATATATTTTTTGTGTGTTGAAGTTTCTCTAGCGGTTTGATAAGTTTAGTGGTGTATGGTTGCTAACCCTATGTATGCTCAACCCTCCCTCTTTACTCGGGACCGGGTAGAAAACCAGCAAGCTAGCTAGTTAACTAGGTGAGGTTCAGTCAGTCAGTGAGTAAGGGTAAATATTAGCCTGGACTCTGTTTGCTTTGTAATCTAATAAAGTAAAGAATTACATTGTAATAGTAAAGAATTCTATTTATTTTATTTTGAACTTTATTTTGATTACATCTTGATGCCACACCGTATCTTCAGTACAAGTATGGAATTTTCAGCATGGATATCGGTAGCCCAAATTTTGCAGGCCGACCATAGATATCAGGTGTGCGTTGGCAGGGGATCGAACCCCGGACCATGTGCAGGGTCGGCGAGAGTCCTGACCACTGTGCCACCGATGCAGAGTAGTAGTATTTGCGTTCTAGTAGTCTGTTCTGTTATCTTAATTTCGGTAATGACACGAGTCAAGTGGTGATGCACATTGGAAAACTCATTGAGGCATTTTTGAATTAGTGAATACAGAAGTAAGAAAAGGCTGACTGCCTATTATCACTGACGATAATATTCTTAATCGTGGTCGACTGACTGGATTATGCGGAAGGACTGAGAGTCGGGAGCCAGAGGGCAGGAATACGTTGAACCGACCAGGAGACTCTAGAAGATCTGGATTTCGCAGATGTCACATAAACTTGAAGATTCACAGGCGATAGCCAGGCAGGCAGCGAAGATAGGACTCCAGGTGGTGAACATAGAGAAGACGGAGGTGATGAAGCTAACCAACTAACCAACAACAACAACGACCAGCACCAATCACTATTAACGGCAGAAGTTTGAAAGAGGTTACTTCCTTTACTTATCTGGTTGGGGCAACATTGTTCCAAATACAGGTGGGTGACATGTATGTTAACACTAGAATTGGAAAGGTGAGATTACACCTTCATCAATCTGAAGTCAGCTTAGAAATTTTCTGCACTGTAGACTTTTATCAACAGCTGCCTTCACTGGTTCCACATCGAGGATCATATGGTTGGCTGGCCAGAAGCAAGTATCAACAAGAAACTATGGAAAAGGACCAACATGCTAAAGCCTGTTACTCAGCATATATTTGGATGAAAATTGCAGATGGATTGAGTATAGGTCACTGAGGACAGACCGTCGAATGACATCGCGCTCAATGCAGGCCATCACTCGAGTTGGGCGTTAGTCTGAGAGTAACATGGAGGTGGTCGTGCGAGGAAGAGACTAGGAGACTATGGGCAATTGTGGGTCGAGCTAAAGTGGAAATGTGCTGTAGAAGTCCTACGTTCTACTCGGAACCCAAGGGAACAATAATATAACAATATTAAATTATATAAGCTTTGATAGGTAAAGATATATGGCTTTTCTGCTTTAGCAGTTAACTTTAAGTCAGTGGTCTTAGACTCGAATCCCTCCCCTCCACCCACTTCACTGCAGGCCACTGTATAGTATGTCTAGTCCTCATAAAATGTGCCTGAACCGTGTGATGCTTAGAAACTATGTTCTACGTAACTAAGTTCTAGTCGTATTATTGTAGGTGCACTCATTTCTCTCCCATCACTTTCATCTGGCTTTATGACTGACTACAAGCTTCCATTTCGTTCTCACTTGGTTTTCTCCATGTTACTCTCGGATGCCTTCCCATTTGGATTCCACTCAAGGGACCTGGCTTGTGATACTGTGGCGTCTACTCTATAGATAGAGGAAGTCAACATTTAAGTCGATGGATGGCTGAAGATGTAAAAGTGTTTGTTCCTCAAATCTGAATTTAGCTTACGTTGTGGTCTGGAAATAATCCCATTGGACGGGGACAACTTTTCCTTCCATTTTGTTTGACCTGGGGCCGATTGGTCAAACATTTAATCCGCTGACCTAGCGAACCTTTAATGTGGCTAAAAAAATATGATGGCATTTTTCCTTAATAAATAAAAGTCCTCTACCACTTCTCTTATCCTTTGCTGTTACAATATCGCTTGTATGTCTCTTCTATGTATGGTCAATCTATCTCTATTTATTGATGGATACTTGTTTGGCAATAGGTGGTTCTTGGCTGGTTTGCTGACAGAGAAGTGTTTGTCACTTATCCTTCCTTGCTGGTTATCTGATCCTGAGTATTGAGTGAAGGAGGTTAGTGTCTGTTCAAGATAATGAAGAAGATTTGTACCTCAGATGGATGTGTTTTCTCTGAGCTGGTCGGTTTTATTTCGGAGCTTTCGTCGTCTTCCTAGACAACATCTTCAGTGCAGGTTTTAGTATGAAATGAAATAACGGTTAGAATATTAAGACCGTTTGAAATAGACATAGCACACAAGCCAGCCAACCAACACAATCACTTCATTCGATATTGTGCAGACCGACGGATTCAACAGAAAGCGAAGATCAAATTAATGCCATTTACAAAATAAATTGCACGTATGAACAGTAACAGGCATTAAATCGGTCAAAGTGGGCGTCCCCTTCGAATTCAAGTACACAAGTAAGTTGTGAAAAGACACGATATATATTCCTGTTTCATATCGATGCATGTAGAGGGTCACGGACACCAATTTGATGATTGTGAGAATGTAGAAATTTTAAATAGAGGAAACACCAGACAGTAATGTCAAGGAATTTCTAGAAGCCTGGTACTCAAGTGAATTAGCAGTTAAAAAACACATTTCTGCCTCTATGGACCAAATTTACTAACTAGTGAAAAATGAATCACATGACAAGGAAGTTCAAGTTCCAATGCAGATCTCATCACGAACTCGCCCCCCATGATTCTTGACTAATGCAATCTACTGGTTTGATCACTATTGAAAGACCTACGAATACTGGACAGCCAGTTGTTCCGTCAGCCTAGTTTGGGACTCTTCAGTAGTACTCACCCACCCCACTGCCAGCATTTGAACTCAGGACTTTTTGGTTACAAGGCGATAATATCATAGACGATTAAGCCACTGGGATCAAACCTGTGACCAATCAAATCCCTGCAAACCAACACTGGATAATTAATATGATCCTACCAATCACGACAATGGTTGTCAGGGGCGGGGGGGATACAATTATACTATCGTTCACGGAGAATTATTTCATACTAAAACCTGCATTGAAGCGATGTTGTCTAGATGCGGAGGAGGGGGGATAACGAAAGCTTCGCAATTAAATCAACCAGCTCAGACAGAGAACACAACTCAATCAAAAGTTTGTTTAAAATGTTGAAATGAAACTTTGGAGAAAAAAAGAATTATTTATCACCTTCTAATTTTAATACTGAGTAACACGGTATTTTATTTTTTTTTATTGAAAGATGTCAACTTTCCTTTTCTTTTCAATTTCTTCAGCATGTTCATGTTCATGTGTTGCCTAGGAAACCAAATGATTTTCCGGAAAATGATGATATTTATAAAGCAGTAAGTTTTTTTTATTTTAGTTTTTTTTGTAGTGTAATTTATCATTCCTACAGCCAGTTCCCTTCGTTCAAAGCTTGTCATTCTTTCAAGTATTGGTTTGTAGGGCTTTTTTTCAGGATTTCATCATGAGCTGACATCGGTTAGAGAACCATTGGAAAACCTGCCTGGGAGTACTGGACAGCTGTTTCATCAGCCTAGTTTGGGACTATTCAGCAGTATGCACCCACCGGGGGTCGGACCTAGGACATTCTGGTTACAAGGAGAGCTAGTTTGTAGACAATTTAAGCCACTGGGACCCCAGTAAGGGAGAGTGATGCTCAGGTAGGCTTCGTGTGCTTTTGCAAGTGTGTGGGCAGTTATTACTTCCCGGATGCCCACACCGTGGAAGTTGGTTGAGTCTTCGGATACCTGAAATAGAGAAAAGGTTAGTGTTGCGTGACCGCAGAGTCCAGGGGACAACTGCTTGAGGCCGGTCACACGTGGCCTATTTTTGTTTGTTCTTTTGTGTTTGGTGTGTCTCAGTAGCATATTTATCACTTCTGCCCTGTGACACGGCAGCAGGAAGCGCGGTCGTTGTTAATCTGGGCCCCGACCTATCCGGCATGATATTTTGTGATTTTGTTTGAATCATAGCATTGGATTGGGTAGCTGCTTTTAGTCTAACCGCTATCCAAACAACCTTTCTGGCATGGTAGGACCTACAGGAACATAAGTTCCAGCCAGTGTAGCTCGTTGGGTCATTGCGATATGCAAGCCCGACCACCACGTCAAGGTAGCAGCTATCGGTCGGGGCTGGGACCCAACTCAATGGCCAGCCCATGAATTTCGACTTCTGCCGATTCTCAACAAAGCAAGACAGCCGTTCAGTACTCCCAGGTTTTCCTGTGGTTCTCTAACCAATGTCGACTCATGATGAAACGCTGTAACCAATCAAATCCCTGTAAACCAATACTTGAAAAAATTCATCTGATGCTCATTAGCCACTGGCCTCATTCAGGTAGGTAGTTAGTTACCTGGGTTCTACTAAAAAGTCGTGACCAATGAGGTACAGTGAATTGGGTGTGCGGGCGAATATTGTGAATTTCTTCCAAAAGAAATTCGAGGCGATAATCCAATGATTATTGAAACCACACCTTAAGTGACGCATACAGAATTTATTCAAAATACGTTACTATAATAAACATAAAATATGAAATAATAATATACAAACCTCAATTGTTAGGTGTTTGTGTCTGAAAGTCGTCAAAAATATCAGTCAATATGCGTCAATAAGTAAAAACAGCAGAGATCTACGTGTTATTTAAATAGCACGCGAATGCCGGGCACAGAATAAAGGGATACAAATAAACAACGTTCAACAGTAACGGGTCCGTGAATAGAGTATGCACAGCAGATAATGTTCGATTATAAGAAAAAAATGCTATACACCAAGCAAATAAAGACGTGATTAAAAATTAACAAATACAACTCGTACTACTTACTGGAGGTCAGTAGTATAAAATTCAACACAAAAGAAAGAATAACAAGCGTAGATAGCAGAGGAATTAACAAATCCTCGCCAGCGATGACATTGGTTAGTGCCATTTGCGCTATGTCGTGACTTGGTAGAAGTTGGAATTTATAGACTGGCTATTGAATTGGCGGATCCCAGTGGCTGCTTAATGGTCTACGAGCTAGCTTGACTTGTAACCGGAAGGTCGTGGGTGGGAATCCTGGGAGTGGTGTGTTGGTGCGTACTACTGAAGAGTTCAGAGAAAGGTATCCTGTGTAACATTTTAATGCCGTATATGTATTTTATACGTAAAAAACACCTTTATCATGTGATTGGAGCGTCCAAGATCATTTGTCCTTTGGTACCTGCTGCCATCTTGTGTAAATTTTGTCAATAAAGCATATTTTCATCTGACACGTTTTTGATTGGCTAGTTCAAGGTCGTTTTTTACTTACTAGGTCGTACATTCACCATTATTAATCAATGCAACATTTTAATCATTTCCTTATTTCAATCCCCCGCCTCTTTTTCTTCTAGTTACAAAAACATGATAAAGTGAAGAATCGTGTCTATCGTTCACATGAAGTAATGAGTCAAGAGGCTAAAGAATTACGTCAACTCTACTATCCTTGTGAAAGGGTAGAATAGATTATCATTTTTACCATCATAACCTTACTATGTACTACTTTATATATGCTAACTGCCTACCTATCTATCTAAGTCAGTCATTATTATTATTGTTCTTCTTTTTCGTTTTTATTCTCTACTAGTTTATCGATTGATTTTTATAGTATTTCATGTTAGTTGGTTGGTTGCGTAATTATCTTCTGTTTTGTTGTTGTTGTTATCGTTGTGGTTACTACTTTTATTTTGTTCACTCTATTATTATGATGTGGAAATGCCTTGTACTTCCCTCATCTACCAACCCCACCCCCTAGTCCTGCTTCTTCTTCTCTCCTCTCCTCTTTCTACCATTTGTTTTCTCAACAGATTTCAGTTTCTTTAATTTACGTTAGATTACTTCTTATTCACGCTGAAGTGTAGAAGCAGTTCATTGAAACAAGTGATAATATTAAACACCGGTCATCTTTACCTCGATTAATTTTTTTCTATTATCACTATTTGTAAGCGCAATATCGCTTGAAATTAAGTCACGCGTCGTAGATAAAGGCTATCCCGGTCCAGAACAAACAAGAAGCCGGTCACTGTTTCTACGGTACTATTAATAAACAAATCAATAATTATATATATACAACAAACCTTAACGTTTTCAAGAGGACAAAGCACAACGCTTAACAGAAAGCAAGGTACCGCTATCAGAGCGGAATAACGTTAAAGCCAAAATTGCGAACTAGCCGGAATCAGACACGACCGTTCAGGTAAGCAGTCAGTAGAAGAATGAATCCAAGTAGGGTAGGGCATAGAATAGAGAGCGGTTAAGAGATAGACAGAGCATAGGCACAAAGATAGAATTTAATTGGCTACTTAACCAGGTAGGCTGATACAGATGAAGATCAATAAATAAGATAAACTCGACAGAATAGTACAAAGTAAGACATGGGTCAGCAAAAATAACAGTTCACAAAATACTCTGATTGGGTCATGAGTTCAACGGTCTGACTAAACGGATCGATGTAAAAAAACACACACACACAGTTCATTAAACAAGGTGGGATAGACACGTTAGGCATGGATAATTGGGTTGCAACAACGCTAGGCTGATCCGGGACAGGTTGACTTGATTCAAGGATGGGAATTGAACTGATCTTACACTATTTATTATTTATTATTTCTTTGGGTTCCGAGTAGGACAACACATTTACACTTTGATGATATTAAATGGTTGGAGGCAATCGGCAGGGGGAGCCTTCGTACTAGTTGGCATTCAACAGTCAGTTAGCAAGACAGGCGTATCTGCAACCTTGAAGGGACTCATGTCCACATTGCAAACCTGACTGATAGAATTTAGTCTGCTCCAAAGAAAGGACTAGACAAGTCGCCCTAGTTACTAGTATCCAATCAAAGTATCCACTACTGTCCTACAGGAGGTGAGGTCAATCGCGAACCCGAGTAGCTCAGTGGTAACGTCTCTGACTGCAGGATCTTAGAAGGGACATGAATTCCTTCAAGGTTGCAGATACGCCCTGCTGACGAGTGCCAACTAGCACGAAACCTAGGTCCAAGGCTTCCCTCCGAATGCCTCCAATCATCTGTTATCATCAAATCAATGTGTACCATGATGGCGAGCTACCTAGTGACATAGTGGCCACATTGCAACCTGACTGATAGAATTCAGTCTGCGCCAAAGAAAGGACTAGACACATCACACTAGTTACTAACTAGTGTCCAATCAAAACATTTACACTTTCTTCTATTTGGTTCTGTCCTCTTCAGCTGGCTGAGGCTATGATTGCCTATAATCCCTCATCTCCTCCTCCCCAACACACGATCTCTTCCATGTGTCACCCTTCCATTGACTATCCACTGCTCGTCGCTTCTCGATGGGATTCTACTCGAGGCATTGCTTGACAGGCGATATCATTCGATGGTCTCCTCAGTGGCGTGTGTGCCCGATCAGTCCATCTCCATTTTCGCCTAAATATTTATTTGTTGAGCGTTAAGAAGAAACTTCAACGAATTAATTTCTTGACATTCTACTCTGTTTTGATGAAGTGAGTAAATTGGGCGAAGTTCAACAAAAGTGTCCTAGGAGTGTGAACGCTCCAATGACCTTGAACGCATGCTAGTCGTTTGCTAACGGCATCTGTCATTATCATAGCTGAAATATCAACCCTATTCACCAACTTAGGAGCAAATTTCACCCAGATCACGTTTTAGGTACTGTTTGGACAATGTGTTAATAGCTCGTTAGGGTTAAGGTAAGTATTGAGGTTAGGGTTAGGATCAGGGTTAGAATTGCGGTTTGGATAAGGGTTATGATTAGGGTTCGGATTAAGGTTAGGGTAACGATTATCGATAGATTTATAGTTGATGTCATTTATTTTAATTTGTTTTATTATCCACGTTTTCCTGGTAAGTAGTTGCCTATCCTCTTGCTGGAAACCACAGTAATTCAACCAAGGGCTTTTTGAGAAGACTGCAAGCAGGATGAGAGAGATAAACGACACAAAAAACAGTTTATCTGTAGTCATCTCGGTGAATACATGTACAGAAACTAGTCTAACTTAGCAACCGATACTCTTCGTTATTACTAGGACGTATTTTTAAGTCATGTGTCAGAGAAAGATAACCTGTTTAATGCGTTTTCAAGCATTTTCTTGTCAGTATACATCATTTTTTGAGCAAACATTCCTCATTTTTATGATTGGTCAGCTGAAAGTCACTCGTGCGTTTGCACTCCTGGGACGCTATTGTTGAACTTTGCCGTAAATTGTTTTTAATTAGCGAAAAATACCCAATAAGACATTGAAATAAGAACAAATTAGTTCAGCGAAGAGTCTATTTTCGGCGAATTCATTCACTTAGCTGTACAGTCGCAAATATATATACAATGATTTTGTGTGTGTGTGTACATTAGGTTTGTCAAAATCAAAATAACGGTTAGTGTGGGTTGTTGATTATATCATCAAAATAATGAAGAAGTTAAAATGTGTGATTAATAATCAAAGTTGTAACTAAGTGGGGTGAAGATTGGTAAGATGTGAGTAGGGTTACGTAATATAGACATGTTTAGAAAGATTAAATGTTAGTGAAGGAGTATGGAGACAATTATGAAAATAAACTAGATAATGGGTGAAAAGATTGAATGGGTTAGTTACTAAAAATTATTATACGAAAATTGCAAAAAACATTTGATAACAAAATGTTGATGACAGATAAACTTGAAATTAAACCCACGGTAGTAGGAGGGGGTAGAGAAGTTTCTTCTGTGTGCATAAATGAGGCTTTTCTATCCAAATCGCTAAGGCTTCAGCAATACAAAGTATACGGAAGCTTGTCGATTTTGGAAGGCTTCTTTTGACTTTATAGGTGACTTTGAACGACTTCTCCTTGCAAATTGAATGACCAGTGTTGAGTATGTGCTCAATAATGGCGCTCCTTATTGCTCCGTTGTTACCTTTCCGTAGCCAGGCGAGATAGTGTTCTTGAACTCTTTTAGATAAAACTCGCATCGAACGACCTATATACCTCGCTCCGCAAGAGCAGGTGAATTGGTAGATACACATGGAAGTAGTCAAATGCGGTAGTTTATCTTTAGAGTAGTTGTTCAACTACTCTAAAGATATTATTTTGATTTTGACAAACCTAATGTACACACACACACACACACGAAATCAATTGTATATATTCGCGACTGTACAGCTAAGTGAATGAATTTGCCGTAAATTGTTTTGTCTATTGCTTTATGGAAGAATTTGTGTGGCAGAGGTTGGTGGATAGGAAGAGGAAGAAAGTCGCTAAGATGGGATTTCCACCTGATTCTGGATTATAATAGTAAGCTTCCAATGTGTTTACTCGCCTCCTATTCTTACTTCTACAACTTCATCAATTAGTATCATTTGATTGGATTGGTTAGAATACATCAGTTATTCAGAATAAAGTATTTGGTGATAAGCTGTTAGCCAGACTCAATTAGATGAGTGGAAATTTGAATTCGGGAATTGATTGGTTTAGAAGTTGGATGATTAAGTCATGATAATCAACCTGTCGGTCGTATGTTTATTCAGCTAGACAATAATATTAATCAGTGTTCATAACAGAAGTTAATTCGTGGATGGTGACTAGCAGTGAAATCCATCGGGATAACGCGCATTTCGTCCTATTTAGGATTCGTCATCTGGATGTACCTGCACTCTGCACTGAGTGTGATGCTCCCACCGAGACTCGAATCCAGTTCCCATAGATTCAAACGCCAAAGCGAGTTATCAACTAGACCATTTGGGCCACGAGAGCACCTCTTGTGCTGTTCAATGGGTCATATTAATTATCTAATTCAATTTTAGATTTTCCCGTCCATTGATTGATTGGACCGTAGTGCTCGGTCTCAGGTTGACATGTTGGCTTGTTGTGCATATGCTTCGACGATGTCCGGTCATGTAACTAATGTTCATAACATATTCACATATAATCGAATCTTACAGTATGTAGAAATGATTCCAATATCAAATAAGTTTATCTATTAAAAGTTAAATTATCCACAGAAATTTTACTTAATATGTACAAGTTAAAACCATTTCGATTGTAGACTTTAAATATATGTATATATATTACAAGGATCTGATTGGTAACAGGATTGATGACGAGCTGACATCAGTACTAGACAGCTGTTTCGTCAGCCTGGTTTAGGACTCTTCAACAGTACGCACCCAACACACTATCACGGTTCGCACCCCGATATTTCCGATGCAATTCAGCCACTGTGACCCACTAATCCAATAGCCAACCCAGTTATTCTAACTAACTTAAGCCAATTCGTGAATTATTTATTTAACGCAACCACCTGCTTATGTCACGGGTGGGTAAAATATCCCTTAACCTGAATATGTGGATGCCGCCATAGATATAAATATTCTACTGTGAATGTGATGGGAGGAATCTAGACTCTCCGGAGAGATTGATTGATATTAGGTGTTAAGTAGTTAATTTTGTGAGCGTGTTTATAAGTTTATGTAAGCATAAACAGGTACGAGCGTGATATATTGGCTTAAAACAGTCAACAGACTAACAAATGCCAGTCCTATTTTTCAATTACGTTGAATCAAGAGATCAATATAAGTATATTTGGTTCATTCTAACACAATTAGTTGATGATCATTTCCAACTCCATTAACATAAATATTCATTCACACAGAGATTCCAGGTGGCAGTTACATACTCTTTTACAACATTTACAATATAATGTCTCGTACACGAAATAAAAATCTGATTTACGTGATTATCGCAAAGCTTCATTTCATTGACGATTGAACCTAACTACCATAGAAAAACAGCGTGCAAGAGTTAAATTTCCTGTGATGACAGGCGCCTCGTCAATCTCTCGAAAATCTCATACGAGGAGAGAGAGTTTCACCAGTGTCCAGTCAGCTGATGAGTCGATAAGAGACTGACTTTGTCTTCTAGGCTGGTCGTATTATCTTCTCCGCCTGTCCACCAATAAGTACTCAGTTT